CTCAAAGTTAACTGGACCTCATCTGACACTCGTTTACAGAGAGTCCCTTGCTATCAAGGAACTTCCCACAGTTTACCATCACACATTTGCATCTGTTTTGCTTGATGCATATTTCTCCTGCTGCTCCAACCTGGATGCGTGAGGACCGACCGTGTCTGTTTACTTACACCATGTCCTAGCACAGGGCCCGCACAGATTAGAGACCGAGTGACTACCATCACGAACGAGCAAACAAGTGAACTGTTATTACCTTTATGCACGTGAAGATAGGAGCAAGAACACTGCATACGTTTTGCTTGATGCATATTTCTCCTGCTGCTCCAACCTGCATGCGTGAGGACCGACCGTATCTGTTTACTTACAACATGTCCTAGCACAGGGCCCGCACAGATTAGAGACCTAGTGACTACCATCATGAACAAGCAAACAAGTGAATTGTAATTATTATACATGTGAAGATAGGAGCAAGAACACTGCATACATTAAATAATTTGTAAAATATGTAATGGATTAATATGTGATCAACTGCATGTGAGTCATAAAATGCTTTAAGAATTCAGAGGTCAGAGGACACTGAAGTGGTCAGGAAAAAACCTAGCAAGTGAAGTAGGGCCCCAGCTGGACCTAGACAGTGATTAAAATGGGCAAAGAGGCGGAGAAAGACAGGTGTCCCAGACAAAGGTGCAGAGGCCAGAATCACAGAATGTCAAGTTACATTATCCCAAGATTTATTCCGATTCAGCACATTCTGTTTATAGATAAAGGTGGAGAGGGTTTTTAAAAATTTTTGATTGATTCTGCTGTTCCCCGGAGGAATGGTCTACAGAAAAAGCAATATTCTACATTTCTCAGTGATTTTATTGATCTCACCCCCCAGTCCCCAGAAATAAGAACTCTGTGGGATTCAGAGTATAAAGAGAAGTTCAAAGAGCATCACCATGTGACCAGACAGCCCTGCAGACATGATGAAACTTGACAGCAGTGATGTAAACGCTGAAACAAACCACGTTCAACTGGTCAGGGAATTAAATCAGATCACGAAGGAGCTGGTTTCTCAGACACAACCCAGGAATCTGAGGGTCAGTCTCCCCCAAATTTGCCAAATGTCAGAGTGGCCATCTCACCTTTTGTTTCTGCTCAGATCGCTTCCTCTTATAAACCAAAACTCCATTTCTGAGAAGCATTCTCACCTACTAGTACATTCCTAGTCTACTAAACAGTCTGCATTTGGAGAGACACAAACAAAATGATTTCCCTTTTCTCTTCTCTGTTTATTGCCAGACACATTTTGAAGGCGCTGCCTTCAGATACAGCACTGATGTCACTTTCAGACTAAGCTTCTATCATAGCGAAGTAAGCAGTTTGGTTTGGCCCCACCCCCGTAGACAACCAGAACTCTAGGGAAAATGACCTGAAAGCACAGCTTTTCAATGGAACGCCACCATCTCTGAGAGAAGAGAAACAAAGGAGGCGCCTTCGTCTTCCTGGCTTTTGGTCTGCAGGAACCTTGTGTATGGCAGCCCAAGCTCTAGGAGGAAGATTTGAGTCAAGATAGACAAGCCACAGGACCCTCACCTCGAGTGTGTGAAAATTGGAGCTAAAATCAGGGTGTTGGCAGGGCTGCCTTCCTGTTGGAGCTTCTGGGGGCGAAGCTATTTTCCTGCATCTAGAAACCAATCACATTCTCTCGCTCCTTGGCATCTTCCAAGTCAACCACGAGTCTCTCGGCTGTTCTTCCCGTCACGTCTCCCTCTGACGCTGCCTCCCTCTTCCGTTTATAAAGACCCTTGTGGTTCCATGGGGCCCACCGTGAAAATTCAGGATAAGCTCCTCATCTCAAACTACGGAAACCTCATCTCATCTCCTGAGCCCATATAGTAGCACATTCACAGGGTCGCAGGATCGGCCTGTGGACGACTCTGGGGCCATTACCCGCCTGCCACAGTAAGGTGCTCAGCACATGCCACTCATCTCGCTGGCTAGGATTTCACCAAACATTTATCCAGAGAAGCAGACACTGATCCAGGCCACTTTTATTTCAAATTAGAAGGCTGGTGCACGAAATTTCATGCACTGGGGGTGAGGGGGAGGGCGTCTCTCAGCCCGGCCTGTGCCATCTCGCAGTCTGGGACCCCTCAGGGGATGTCCGATTGCCAGCTTAGGCCTGCTCCCCACAGGGGTCCCTCTCGCAGTCTGGGACCCCTCAGGGGATGTCCGATTGCCAGCTTAGGCCTGCTCCCCACAGGGGTCCCTCTCGCAGTCTGGGACCCCTCAGGGGATGTCCGATTGCCAGCTTAGGCCTGCTCCCCACAGGGGTCCCTCTCGCAGTCTGGGACCCCTTGCTCTTTACCGCCCACCTACAATGGAGGTGGGAGAGGCTCCCGCCACCGCTATTGCACTTGCCAGCTGTGAGCCCAGCTTCTGGCTGAGTGGCGCACCCCCTGTGGAAGTGCACTGACCACCAAGGGGCAGCTCCTGCATTGAGTCGTTCCACCATTTGGTTGATTTGCATATTAGGGTTTTATTATATAGGATACAGCCACAGCAGATCATTCTACATCCACTTCCCTTTTACATCTGCTTTAGGGCATTGGTTACTTTCAGTAAACATCTACACAGCCCAAACTTAATTACAGTCCTACTTATACCTACTTAATTTTGTAATGTGTGGATTTCTGGGTTTTTTAAAGCAATGCATTGTGTAAAAAATGCAGATTACATCATGAATACTGAGAAGGATGCTGCAAGGAATTACTAGAAATCTTTCCCTTGCTTATAAACCTCAATAAAGATTCTGATTTTGGAAATATTAATTCATTAATCCCACTCAGCTGGATTTAGAGAAAGAACAATCAGGAGCATTTCAAAGCTTGTACTTTAATGGCAGTTCCCTTTGCATATAGAGGGAGAAATGGATTCTTATGCTGTGTGCTTTTCCTATGAATGCATGCTTTTTCTAAACAGAGAAATTTATCTATGAGATGCAGCAAAGCCCCAAGTAGAAAAACTTTCATGAGTTCATCAAACATTTTATATATAGTGTGTGTGTGTGTGTGTGTGTGTGTGTATAGATATAGAGATATATAAAATGTTTGATGAACTCATATATACACTGAGTGGCCAGATTATTATGACCACCCCATCAGTACTTCATTGACACTTCCAAAAATAC